CAGGTCTGGTCACGCCAGGTCTGGTCACGCCAGGTCTGGTCACGTCAGGTCTGGTCACGCCAGGTCTGGTCATGCCAGTAAGCCAGAGTTCTTGGACCTCTTTTGTTCATCTCTTGTCAGTGCGGCCGCGCTGCCAGGCCCGTGTTGACGTCCCGGCTTCCGTTCCTTTGTCAGGGTGTTTGTGTGTAAGAGGAGGAGGAAGGGGGGGAGATAACCAGGCGTCGAGTGCCGCCTGAATGACACTCCGAGGCCTGGAGGTGACACTACACGTCACCACCGCGACACAGTGTCTCAGGTGACACGCCGAGGCCTGGGGGGGGGGGGGGGGGGGGGGTGACACTGCGCGTCACCACCGCGAGACAGCGAGTTAGTGTGCCCGTGTTGAGGAATAACTCAGGCAAGACGCTGCTCTTCACTCGCGGTTCTTGATATTCACTGATATCTTCCTGGATTGTTGTTAAGGAAAATCTAAGGTCAAATGCACGTGTTACTTTCGTGAAAGATATATCAACTTTCTTCTGAGTTGTTAAACCTTAGTGGTATTCTAGATTATCGTGTACCTGAGCATTGTGTTAGATAATGTTCCAGCGGCCTGTCAGGCTCAACAACACTGATATTCTTGTCTTCTGGAACCTGTAAGCCTATTTGCCACGCACATGGGTATCCAAGCCTATTACTGTTGCATGTGGACTTCCGCTCTTCCATTATGCTTTTAAGTGATTCACAGTTGGTAGAATTTTTGTACCATCCTGCATACCCTACCCATAACTCTCCATCTACTGAGTTATTGACACTCTCCATCTACTGAGTTATTGGCACTCTCCATCTACTGAATTATTGGCACTCTCCATCTACTGAGTTATTGACACTCTCCATCTACTGAGTTATTGACACTCTCCATCTACTGAGTTATTGACACTCTCCATCTACTGAGTTATTGGCACTCTCCATCTACTGAGTTATTGGCACTCTACATCTACTGAGTTATTGGCACTCTACATCTGATGCATTGATTTATTTCTCATTGTTTTCATAATCTGTGCAAGACTCTGGGGTATATTAATGTCTACATTTCTGCCTTTAGTTGCCATTTTTGCAGCTTCATCTCCAATGTCAGTCCCTAGTGTTCCTACATGACTTGGCACCCAGTAGGTATATTTTTTGACGACACCTGACGTCTGAGCGCTTGCATTAATGCTATAACATTTGTGGTCAGATGTGGGTTGTCACGGAAGAAATCTTGTTGCAAGGTGGCAGCTCTCGAATCTGTATGATGACGTGTTGTTGGTGTTCAGCAAGAACATGCAATGAAGCTCTTTTGAATGGCTAGCAACTGTGTAAAGCTGGGCAAGGCCGCCTGTGAGGTGCGTGAAGCTCTCAGATGCCGAGTTTGTTTCTATATTCTTCTGTGCTATGATGCATAGCAGAGGGGGGGGGGGGGGAGGGGGTTAGTCTGGTTCACTTTGTTTATTGCGTTTAGTTAGGCATTATGAGGAATATATTTGTACAGGATAGCCGTTATAATGAGTGTGAGTGTACAGGATAGCTATTATAATGAGTGTGAGTGTACAGGATAGCTATTATAATGAGTGTGAGTGTACAGGATAGCCGTTATAATGAGTGTGAGTGTACAGGATAGCTATTATAATGATTGTGAGTGTACAGGATAGCCGTTATAATGAGTGTGAGTGTACAGGATAGATATTATAATGATTGTGAGTGTACAGGATAGCCGTTATAATGATTGTGAGTGTACAGGATAGCTATTATAATGAGTGTGAGTGTACAGGATAGCCGTTATAATGAGTGTGAGTGTACAGGATAGCTATTATAATGAGTGTGAGTGTACAGGATAGCTATTATAATGAGTGTGAGTGTACAGGATAGCTGTTATAATGAGTGTGAGTGTACAGGATAGCTATTATAATGATTGTGAGTGTACAGGATAGCCGTTATAATGAGTGTGAGTGTACAGGATAGATATTATAATGATTGTGAGTGTACAGGATAGCCGTTATAATGATTGTGAGTGTACAGGATAGCTATTATAATGATTGTGAGTGTACAGGATAGATATTATAATGAGTGTGTGTGTACAGGATAGCCGTTATAATGATTGTGAGTGTACAGGATAGCTATTATAATGAGTGTGAGTGTACAGGATAGCTATTATAATGAGTGTGTGTGTACAGGATAGCCGTTATAATGAGTGTGAGTGTACAGGATAGCTATTATAATGAGTGTGAGTGTACAGGATAGCTATTATAATGAGTGTGTGTGTACAGGATAGCCGTTATAATGAGTATGAGTGTACAGGATAGCTGTTATAATGAGTGTGAGTGTACAGGATAGCTATTATAATGATTGTGAGTGTACAGGATAGCCGTTATAACAGTAGGGAGTACGCAGGTTAGCCATCTTGAGGAACGTGTCAAACGTTTCATTAATTTTAATAAAGAGATAGCAAATGATCAGGTACAAATACAGGGGGATAATGTTTGTATTGATTAGTGACACGTTTCTCTGGTCACACTAATTTAACGCGTCACATTAACCAAGGGCATCACAGGAAGGGGGGGAGGGGGGAGAGGGGGGGGGAGAGGGGGGGGAGAGGGGGAGAGGGGGGTGGGGGGAGAGGGGGGGAGAGGGGATGGATACGGGGGGGTTGGAGAGGGGATGGAGACGGGAGGGGGAGAGGGGATGGAGACGGGGGGGGGGGAGAGGGATGGAGACGGGGAAAGGGGGGGGGAGGCATTTTGCGTGACGCTGCCCAGTTTTCTCTACATCAGTTTTTCGCCGTAGGGAAAGTATACGATAAATACATTCGTATTTGGGGGGGGGGGGGGGGAGTTGAGGCGCCTGGTTGATCCCCGGAAATCCTGCCTTGCTGCTTGACTCACCGGTTCCTTCTGCTCCACTAAAACTGGCATAACTGGCACTACTACCACCAATACTACCACTACCACCACTGTCACTACTACCACCAATACTACCACTACCACCACTGTCACTACTACCACCACTGGCACTACTACCACCAATACTACCACTACCACCACTGTCACTACTACCACCACTGGCACTACTACCACCAATACTACCACTACCACCACTGTCACTACTACCACCACTGGCACTACTACCACCAATACTACCACTACCACCACTGGCACTACTACCACCAATACTACCACTACCACCACTGTCACTACTACCACCACTGGCACTACTACCACCAATACTACCACTACCACCACTGTCACTACTACCACCACTGGCACTACTACCACCAATACTACCACTACCACCACTGGCACTACTACCACCAATACTACCACTACCACCACTGGCACTACTACCACCAATACTACCACTACCACCACTGGCACTACTACCACCAATACTACCACTACCACCACTGGCACTACTACCACCAATACTACCACTACCACCACTGTCACTACTACCACCACTGGCACTACTAAACCACTACAATCAATACTACCACCACTAAGGGGGCCTCGTAGCCTGGTGGATAGCGCGTAGGACTCGTAATTCTGTGGCGCGGGTTCGATTCCCGCACGAGGCAGAAACAAATGGGCAAAGTTTCTTTCACCCTGAATGCACCTGTTACCTAGCAGTAAATAGGTACCTGGGAGTTAGTCAGCTGTCACGGGCTGCTTCCCGGGGGTGGAGGCCTGGTCGAGGACCGGGCCGCGGGGACACTAAAGCCCCGAAATCATCTCAAGATAACCTCAAGAAGATACTCCCACTGCCATCCTGCCACCACTACCACCGCTTACATCACCACAATCAAATGCAACTCCAAGAATTACACATAGAAGAGGACATATACTGTGCACACACACATACGGGAGTGCACCCAGGTGCAGCACCAACACCGGAGACACAAACAACACCGCTAACACACGTGTCACGCCGGCAAACATAACACCAACATTTTCAATATCTAAATTTGGACTCTTTAAAGACAATTAATACAACGTCTATGAGGCCAATACGACAGTACGCAGATCCGGCATGGAATCCGTTCCTCGCAAATGAACACAAAATAGCAGAATAGTGCGTAATAACCGGTGTCTGAATGAAGAGAACCAAGCTACAAGGACAGTTTAAGGGAACTTTAATTCACAACACTAGAGAAGAGAAAGTTCAGAGTGGATATGATCACTGTATACAAAATAGTCAGGAGGATTTGGTTTACCTTGGTTAGGGAACATAGTCGGGAACAGGAAGCCTGTTAGGCTTATCGGGATCCCCCTAGGTGACCTATTGATAAAGAAATATATATTATACATACATTATATATATACGATATATATATATATATATATATATATATATATATATATATATATATATATATATATATATATATATATATATATATATTTGGAGAATTGATTTTTGAATTACCACCAACAGTGAAAAGAAATGTACGAAAGATGGAGAAAATTCGTGTTAGAATTATTAATCTTACTTTTTCGGTCATTTTTAATAATATATGTCTACAGGAAAGACTGCTACCAAAATATACTAACATTATATATATATATATATATATATATATATATATATATATATATATATATATATATATATATATATATATATAAGAGAGAAAGTTGGAGGGAGGAAATTATCAGGGGGAAGGCGCCAAGCCATTACTACTATAATGGAAGCACTTGGAAGGGGTCAGGATAAGGATCTAGGATGAGACGAGGGGAGGGAAGGAATGGTGCCCAGCTACTTGGGACGGTCGGGGATTGAACGCCGACCTGCATGAAGCCAGACCGTCGCTCTTCCGTCCAGCCCCAAGTGTTTGGACAGAGAAAGCTGGAAGCGCACATGAGTTGAAGAAATGTGTGAAAGTGCTCGAACCCTTAACGGTGGCCAACAAGTGGGATGCACTTAAAAGAAGAAGAAGCTGAAGGCCTCTCCACCCACAGCTTAAATAGAGGATTCCTCACAAAACTCGATTATAAGAGATTTAATAGAAGCCCAAGAGAAGAATTGAAGTACAGAAAGACTCGTAGGCGAGGGCTAGTAGGATACTGAGTATCTGGATGGTTGGTTCTGGACATGGTGAGTATCTGGATGGTTGGTTCTGGACATGGTGAGTACCTGGATGGTTGGTTCTGGACATGGTGAGTATCTGGATGGTTGGTTCTGGACATGGTGAGTATCTGGATGGTTGGTTCTGGACATGGTGAGTACCTGGATGGTTGGTTCTGGACATGATGAGTATCTGGATGGTTGGTTCTGGACATGGTGAGTATCTGGATGGTTGGTTCTGGACATGGTGAGTACCTGGATGGTTGGTTCTGGACATGGTGAGTACCTGGATGGTTGGTTCTGGACATGGTGAGTACCTGGATGGTTGGTTCTGGACATGGTGAGTATCTGGATGGTTGGTTCTGGACATGGTGAGTACCTGGATGGTTGGTTCTGGACATGGTGAGTACCTGGATGGTTGGTTCTGGACATGGTGAGTATCTGGATGGTTGGTTCTGGACATGGTGAGTATCTGGATGGTTGGTTCTGGACATGGTGAGTATCTGGATGGTTGGTTCTGGACATGGTGAGTATCTGGATGGTTGGTTCTGGACATGGTGAGTATCTGGATGGTTGGTTCTGGACATGGTGAGTACCTGGATGGGTGGTTCTGGACATGGTGAGTATCTGGATGGTTGGTTCTGGACATGGTGAGTATCTGGATGGTTGGTTCTGGACATGGTGAGTATCTGGATGGTTGGTTCTGGACATGGTGAGTATCTGGATGGTTGGTTCTGGACATGGTGAGTATCTGGATGGTTGGTTCTGGACATGGTGAGTACCTGGATGGGTGGTTCTGGACATTGTGAGTATCTGGATGGTTGGTTCTGGACATGGTGAGTATCTGGATGGTTGGTTCTGGACATGGTGAGTATCTGGATGGTTGGTTCTGGACATGGTGAGTACCTGGATGGGTGGTTCTGGACATTGTGAGTATCTGGATGGTTGGTTCTGGACATGGTGAGTACCTGGATGGTTGGTTCTGGACATGGTGAGTATCTGGATGGTTGGTTCTGGACATGGTGAGTACCTGGATGGTTGGTTCTGGACATGGTGAGTATCTGGATGGTTGGTTCTGGACATGGTGAGTATCTGGATGGTTGGTTCTGGACATGGTGAGTACCTGGATGGTTGGTTCTGGACATGGTGAGTATCTGGATGGTTGGTTCTGGACATGATGAGTACCTGGATGGTTGGTTCTGGACATGGTGAGTATCTGGATGGTTAGTTCTGGACATGATGAGTACCTGGATGGTTGGTTCTGGACATGGTGAGTACCTGGATGGTTGGTTCTGGACATGATGAGTACCTGGATGGTTGGTTCTGGACATGATGAGTACCTGGATGGTTGGTTCTGGACATGGTGAGTACCTGGATGGTTGGTTCTGGACATGGTGGTGATGACTCGTGTCCCTTCCATGGTTACCTTTAAATCTCACAATTCTCAAACATTATATACAGAAAACACTCAGAAGTTCTATACCTTATGCTAATTAACATTCTACAATGGGTTGCAAATCTTCCTGAACATTCTCTATGTATAAAGTTTTCTTTTTCAACATTTTATATATAAATAATTTTTTTGAACATTATATACAGGTTTTGTTTTTGAATACTCTATATATAAAGTTATATTTTTGAACACTTTGTATATATAAAGTTATATTTTTGAATGTATAATATATATATAAGATTTTGCAACACTGTATAGTATATATAATCTTTTTGAACACAAAATATATAAATGAATAATATTCCTGACTGAGGTTTGGCCGAAGAGCCCTCGAGTATGGACTGTTGAAGTAATCACTTCAGACTTAGATTTATAATGTTGAAATAGATTGCGTACACCGAACACATTGAGACTCCTTGAGAGAGAGAGAGAAAGAGAGAGAGAGAGAGAGAGAGAGAGAGAGAGAGAGAGAGAGAGAGAGAGAGAGAGAGAGAGAGAGAGAGAGAGAGAGAGAGAGAGAGAGAGAGAGAGAGAGACATATATACAAAAGAAACTTGAAAGATCTCTCCGGCTACTGACTCATGTCTCCTGGTCTCATGACAGCTACACGTTCGCATCTTCACCATCACTGCCCTTCCAGACGCCACGTTCGTGATCTCTCTCTCTCTCTTATCCGCTCCTGCCGCTCTTCCTCGTCCTCCTGCTGCTCCTGCTGCGTGGCAGGTTGCCTCAGCAGAGCGGCAGAAGTGGGTTCTTCACGCCTGATTATCTGAGCATGGTCCAGATAACGCTGAGGACCCGGCCACCGTCCGCCTCATAACCTGCTTTTGTTTACCCTTCCCACAAGTCCTCCCCCTCACTCCTGGCGCCCCTCGGATTGCATGAGGGGAGGGACGGGGGGAGGGGAGAGTTGTAGACGGACTGAGAGAGCAGGACGAGTCAACGAGTGGGCGAATGGAAGGAGGACGAGAGGGAGAAGCTGACGACTGAAGAGTCTTCAAGTGGAGATAAGTGGCGGTAGGTGGTAGGTGGTGCTAGGAGGAGGCGGAAGGCGGTGGTAGATGCTAGGTGGTTGTAGATGCTAGGTGGTTGTAGATGCTAGGTGGTGGTAGATGCTAGGTGGTGGTAAGTAGTGGCGGTAGAGGATGGTAGGAGGTGCTTGATGGTAGTAGGAGGTGGTAGGTGATAAGGTGGTACTCGAACAAAGTGACACAATTGGAAGAAAAACAAGGAGACACAGGTTACCTTGAGGTGTTTTCAGGGGCTTAGCGTCTCAGAGGTCTGGTCCTCGACCAGGCTTCCGACCTGACCTGTTCCACCTTCAGGTGGAACAAAAACCAGGAGACTCAGGTGGAAAATGTCTATTTATGGACATTTTTATATAGCTATAAATCTTAAATTTACCTCTGTTGCTTTCGTTCGTGTTTTTATTATTATTATTATTATTATTTTCTACTACAGACGTGGCCACACATTTACAATGCTAACCAGCATATATACATTTTATGCTGTCCTCCATGGACATGGTGAGAGATCTATTAAACATATAGTCCAGGGATTTATTAAACAATCAACCACAGATGGTGATTGCAGTGCTTTTAAAATGCTAATCTAACTTATAGATATAAATACAGTACACACATACGTAAAGTTACGTCTGCCCTACATAAAGTGTTCGCGCCGGCGCTGGCGGTGCTGGCGGTGCTACGCCGGCGCTGGCGGTGCAAGTTGTTGTTAATTTGGTATCTAAGCTAACTTTACTGACTGGATTAGCTATAATACCAAGACTAATTTTGCGCCAATGATTTATTTTGGTAACGTTGGTAATTTTAGTGATATGAATGAGTTATTACCTGGGAGTTAAACAGTTGTTACGGGCTGCTTCCTGGGGAGAGGGTAAAAAAAAAATTATCGTTGATTGACAGTTGAGAGGCGGGCCGAAAGAGCAGCGATCAACCCCCGCAAGCACAACTAGGTGAATACAACTAGGTGAATAAACACACACACACACACCAGAGAGAGAGAGAGAGAGAGAGAGAGAGAGAGAGAGAGAGAGAGAGAGAGAGAGAGAGAAAAGCATGTGTCTTCCAACACACGTCTCTTTATCGCGACCAAAGAGCCAGAGCTCAACCCCGGTAAGCACAACTAGGTGAGAACACACACCTAAGCCACAACAGTGGCTGACTGAAGCCGGCGACTATCCTGCTGGCCTTTAGGGAGCCTAAATATGGCTGCCTCCAGCGCGACATAAACCATGCCCCGCCGTGGAGCTCTCTCCTACAGCAGCACACACCTCCAGAATGGAGAGACAGTGAGAGAAGGTTTGCGGCATGATCAGCTCATCGTCAGGACACAGAGCCCAGGTTCACAATTTATAGTGAACAGAACGTGAACAATTACCGAAAGAAATGTTAAGAAATTATTATTATTATTTTTTTTTTATAGAACCTGATGAGAAATATTGTATATATTTCTGGTGTCATAAGTATTATTTAAATACTTACATATTGACACAAAGGCTGAGACAAAATGTTTGCAAGGAAAATAGGTATAAGACCTGATGGTGCTGACAAGTGGTAAGGCAGTACGGGCTCACCATAGCCCGTGCTACTTGGAACTTTTTGTTCCAGGTAGCGAATCAACAACAACAACAACAACAACAACAACAAGTGGTAGGCGGGGGAGGAAGAGGTGACAGGAGGGTACAAGGTGGGGGAGGGTGAAGGGGGAGAACCTACAGGTGTTCACCTTGTAACAACAATACATTTTGAGAATGTTGGTGGACACTTGAGGTCAAGATGAGTCGTGGGGATTTAAGTTGAGAGAGTGATAAAGTTGAGCAAGTTAAGTGTAAGTTGCGCACCTATCAAGTGAGGGGGAATGATAAATAAATGTAATGTATTGCCGGAGAAATAGTGGCTTAGAGCTTCAAGATGGCAAGAAAAGAGTGGGTTTGGAAGTCACTCTATCAGATGATAGACAAAAATGGCGGGAGGGTCCAGAAGCTGAAGCCTGACCTGCAGGTACAATTAGGCGAGCTAAATAAGGCGAGTACACATGCGCCCGCGGCACTATCAGTGATTTAAAAAAAATCCATCTACGACATATGGCGTAAGAATGGAGCAGTGAGTGGGCGTATCTGAGAGAGGTAACAAGCTGTTGGTGCCGGCCGAGGGGTGTCTCTTGCCCTCGGCCCGCCCAGGTGACAGAGTGCAGGCGCCAGGTATGAGTGCCACCCAGGGCCACCCCGGGGCCCGCCCACTTGGCCCCTACATGACCGGCCCCTAGGGGCCCCTAGGGGCCCCTGGGGGGCGCTGGGGGCCAATACTCGGAGACCAGGTCACCGCGGGCCATGTCAGCCGATCGCTGCTAACCTCCTGGGAAAATTTCCATGCATCTGGTTCTCTTAACTGTGGCTTCCACATCACCCAGGGTTCCTCACGAATGTGGCTGCACACAGCTACCACCTGGAACACGGTTACACACATGGCTGTTGCTCAAACTACACCAGGAAGAATGTGTAGAGATTGTCGTGGGCGTGCGTGAGGGCGGTGGGCGTGCGTGAGGGCGATGGGCGTGCGTGAGGGCGGTGGGGCGCGAGTCAACGCGGCACCTTACGGACGCCTGGGGGGGTAAACCTGCACATGTCCGTCGCGTCTCACGCCGTGGCCCTACAAAGGGGCCCGGGATGAGGTTATCTTAATTGTGGATAATGAGGGAGGTTAGAGGCGGGGGCGGGAGAGAGTGGCCAGGCGCCCACGCCGCCTTCAACACATCTTGTGCATTAGACTACACCCTCTAAATAAGTCGGTCCGTACACCCCACTGGCAGCCCCCAGCCTGCTCTCTCTCTCTCCTGATTGTGGCTTGATGGCTAGTGTGTAGGGGTGCTGAGCAAGGTGTAGGGATGCTGAGAAGGGGTGCATTGGTGCTGAGACGGGTGTAGGGGTGCTGAGCTAGGTATAGGGGGGCTGAGCAGGGTGTAGGAGTGCTGAGCAGGGTGTAGGAGTCTTGAGCAGGGTGTAGGGGTGCTGAGCAGGGTGTAGGAGTGCTGAGCAGGGTGTAGGAGAGCTGAGCAGGGTGTAGGGGTGCTGAGCAGGGTGTAGGAGAGCTGAGCAGGGTGTAGGAGTCTTGAGCAGGGTGTAGGGGTGCTGAGCAGGGTGTAGGGGTGTTGAGCAGGGTGTAGGGGTGCTGAGCAGGGTGTAGGGGTGCTGAGCAGGGTGTAGGGGTGCTGAGCAGGGTGTAGGGGTGCTGAGCAGGGTGTAGGGGTGCTGAGCAGGGTGTAGGGGAGTTGAGTAGGGTGTACGGGTGCTGAGCAGGGTGTAGGGGTGCTGAGCAGGGTGTAGGGGTGCTGAGCAGGGTGTAGGGGAGTTGAGTAGGGTGTAGGGGTGCTGAGCAGGGTGTAGGGGTGCTGAGCAGGGTGTAGGGGTGCTGAGCAGGGTGTAGGAGAGCTGAGCAGGGTGTAGGAGTCTTGAGCAGGGTGTAGGGGTGCTGAGCAGGGTGTAGGGGAGTTGAGTAGGGTGTAGGGGTGCTGAGCAGGGTATAGGGGTGCTGAGCAGGGTGTAGGGGAGTTGAGTAGGGTGTAGGGGTGCTGAGCAGGGTGTAGGGGTGCTGAGCAGGGTGTAGAGGTGCTGAGCAGGGTGTAGGGGTGCTGAGCAGGGTATAGGGGTGCTGAGCAGGGTGTAGGGGTGCTGAGCAGGGTGTAGGGGTGCTGAGCAGGGTGTAGGGGTGCTGAGCAGGGTGTAGGGGAGTTGAGTAGGGTGTAGAGGTATTAGGGAGAGGTGTA